GCGACAGCGTACGGAGCTGGTTAAAATTCAATCGCGTCTAATTTTGATTCCTTTACTAAGTTTATAATCATTAGTAATCTAAATCATGTGCCAATTTTAATAAGTTTATATACATTTTATTGTTACAGCCTTCTTTGTTACCGTTTCTTCTCCTTAACCGACTTTAAATAAATTTGTGGACCTGAATTTTTCTGTTTTACTGCCGTGAACCAGGTCACGGCTTGTTAGGGTTACAACCCTTTCACGATGGTTGCTTCGTATTTCGTGGGAGACCTCCTGATCTGTTTGAGAGCTTCGATGCCACAGACAGATATGCAGAGACAACATACATACACAAAGGCTTCAGACTTATAACCCCTTTTTTTGCGACGGGAGTAAAAAATTAAAATAGTATCATAATATCAAATAGCCACCACCGCGAACTGAGCAACAAAGATGAACAACAAAAAAAGCAGGGGTATTATGCTCGCAAACCGTGTTTGAGGGGCGCGTTACCGTCGTCGGAGCTGGAGCCGCGAGGGCGTCCGCGTGGTTGATATTTCATCTGCACTTTTCTGTTTATGCCTGAGAAGTGGCCATACCTGCAAAATACATTTAACATTTAACTTACAATTTTGATGGCAAAGCGCAAAATCACAATTTTACCAGATTGAAAGGTTTCCAAACTTTCAATCTGGTATATTTTCAAGATTTCCTTGTATTTCGAGGCTTTTCCTTGACAATGTTTGATTTTGTTTTAACGCTACCTTATAGATTATAATGAAATGAAGCATTTTCCACATACAAGTGAAAATGATTAAATTGTTAGTTTGGCCCTTAGGGCCAATGGATATATTCAAAAGTCTGGTCGGTTGTTTATTGAACATTTTTTATCACAAGCCTTTCGACTGTATTTTCTTTTTTATTTACTTGTGTCGAGTGGTTCGAGGTAAACTTTGCTGTCTTGCGTATTTCGTACATAGCTGATTTTTTATTTATTTATCAAAGTTTGATTTAAACAATGTTAACTAATATAATTTTAAATTTTCAGCTTCTTCAGCTTTGTCACAAAATCTGAAAAAAAAATACATAAAGCAAATAAATCAATGCATTTTGTTTAATTAAATAAGGGTATATATATCTCACCTAATTTTTTTTTTCAAATAATCGACTAATGTGTTTTAAATATTCTCAAGTTCTAAACATATAATAATAAAATATTTACAACCAACAGAAAACATGATATACCCTTATAAAAAGAAACAGCGATGGAAATGGCATTTATGACCCTCAATTACCACCGAACCACTGCAATTTTTTGCGGCATTAACGCATGTTTATGGGATAATTGCGATCTTTTTCAATAAAGGTTGAAGTAAGACTACCACACCACCACAGACAACCGACAACCGACAACAGTACACTGTGGGTCGAAGTAAAAAGATATTAATACAATTACGCATTTATGTTATTTAATTGAAATATAAACGTTACTAAATTTGTATTGAATTGATACCTATTCAATTATTTTTTGTGAAATTATCCCATTAGTTTGTTATAATTATTAATACAAAGATCGAACACTTAGAAAAATCCTTAGCGACCAAAAATAGCGATATCTCTACCCAGGGCTGGTAGCTGTAAAGTTACTTAACGGGGTGACGAAAAACTTCACAGATTTCTCATAGATGGAGCTACGGCTAAAAACTCCTTGAAAACCAAATACAAAAGATCCTACAACAACCACATAGAAAAATTCGTGAGGTCCGCTGGTTCGTGCTTAGTTGGCATAGCGTCTGGCACGGTTTGCTATTAGACGTCGGTTCGAATCCGGCCGAATCGAAGGAATCTCGTATTAATAATCATTATAAACGTTACTATTATACATTCTCATATTCTTTTCAATTCACAATGTTATTTTTTTATTTTGTGTTATGTTGTAATCTCATTAGTGTTATAACCCGACACCGTTATAAGCAGCAGTTCCAGTAGAGTCCGTCCGTGTCAAAGAGTTCGTACAGGGGAGTACTGCCACCTTACCTATTTCTGCCGCCAAGCAGTAATGTGAGCATTACTGCGTTCCGGTTTAGAAGGGTAAGGGTGCTGGTGAAATTACAGGCACATGGTACTTGTCAACTTATGCCTCAAGGTGACGGGCGCAATGGAAGTGCACCGCTGATCTTTGCGATTAAAAATTCGGAGTGGCACTGCAACTGCTACGGACAGGCGCATCGCGTACCACCAGGCACTACTTGTTGACATAAATAAAGAACTCACATCTCCAATACGCTCTTCAGCTGTTCAAGCTTGCCTTGTTTTTCTTCAATTTCAGGGTCGGCATGGCGCGTGTGAATATCGGTGAGTAGCGCCCGCGCTATGTCCAGGATCTCTTGCAGTTGCTTTGGCTTCTTCAATTTTACGTGGCCGCGCTTGAAGCCGTCGTATTTCTCGAAGATCTCAAAGAATCTTTGATAAACAACACTATGGTGGATTATAGATTAGCAGAACTAGTAACAGCACGAAGTGGGTGTAAATACAGTTAAAGGACACACATCAAAAGAGTCTAGAGATCAAGTACGTTTTTGCCAATTATTGAAAATCTATATTATTATGGTATTTTATAATTTATTTTTAACACTGGATTTTTTTCAGTCAGTTATATACTTTGAATTTGAAAATGAACGATTTTCAGTAATTAGCAAAAACGTGCTTGAACCCTAGTCACGTTTGATGTGTGTACTTAGGGTAACTGCATATCTGAACGCTATATAAACAATGGTACGTACAATTTTAAACAAAGAATTTTGATAGATTGTGTATTTTTGGTTCTGCTTCACCGTATTTCCGTAGTTAAAATAACACCATTTCTAACCTCGCCATGTTGCAAATTTTTTTAAATAATTCCATTATTAATTACTCTTTTTTTGGACATTTCAATTTTGTTATTTTATGTATATTTAAAATTATTCCGATGTGAACAATACGAATTAAATGTATATTTATAGAATAATGTATAAATAGTTTATTATTATAATTATGTTATTTTTAAGTGATTATGACAATGATGTGTGTCTTGTATTATTTTAATAATGTATGTAAATTTTAAGTATGTTAAGCTGTTGCTGAACGAATAAATAAATAAATAAATTAATTAATTAATGAAAGTCCACAGTGGCGCCACCTTCTATTGTAGAACGAATTCTCAATGGTGTAGAATTCGTCTCTTTTACTTCCTTCACTAAGTATTTTTATTTACTCTCTTTTGTTCTTAAATGTTAGACAACATCACATACGAAAGCACTTGTGTTATGGAAATCGGAAACAACGACGGTACCACAAACACCCAGACACGAGACAATACAGATAAGTTAGTTTTCTACATTGACCCAGCCTGGGATCGCACCCAGGAGTTCAAAGATGGCGAACCCATGAAAACACTGTGTACAAGCCAGTCGACCACAGAGGCGCCGTTCTTGGTACATATTTTACAGCTAGATTTTTTTAAGGGCATCGTAACAGTTTCATACATATACGTAACAGTTTCATATATAATCATAGCTGTCTCCTACTCGGGGTAGACATAGATCATGATCCTGTCCATTCGTCATGTTCCTAATAAAGTTCTTTCGCCTCTTCCACTCGTACCAATCGGTTTATACATCATGTTTACGCTTGGTACTTTTAACATGGCGTTTTGAACCGACTTCAAATAAAGTAAGTTTTCAATTCGACTGTATTTTATTTGTATGTTACGCAATTACTCCCGCATTTGTGAACCGATTTTAAAGATTATTTTTCTGTTGGATAGAGGATACCTCAATATTGATCCCTTTTAAATTTTAAGAAAAATATTTCACCTGTAAGGGCGGCAAACTAGAGGATGAATTCGGTTTTGCACACTTTTCGATTTTAATAAAACTTGACAAATAGATGTATTTCCACGAACTTTTCAGATTGTTTTTTTTTTATAAAAAGTTGTAATTGATCTTAGAATGGCATTTGCGATATTAAAAGAATTAAAATTATACGCTACCTGGGATGCCGAACTTCTACCTTCATTTTTTGCTTCGGCGTTCTATCCCCGTGTCTTATAACAGCGACAACGCATCTTAACTCCATCATCTTGCCGAACGTAGTGGGCACAATTGGCGGATCGTCCAATTGAAAAGGCACAGACCAAGGTATATGCAATGTAGGAGCCAGCTCCCGCAATATCATATTACCCAGTATCTTGGCGCAATCATCGTAGTACTTATTTGAATTCTTCACGAAGGAGAAACCGTTCACGTCACACACGAACGATTTGCCGTTTGCCCTGAGAATAAAATAAAAGTAAAATGTAATAATGATAATAATAAAATAATAAAAATGTATTTACCGTAACTTAGAATTAAAAATTACATATTTGATCTATGATCCCCACACTAGTCTACGCCTGTTTCGTGGTAAGCTAAGCAAATACGAATAACCGAATAACAATGCGGCTTATAGCAGAGTAAAATACAAAAAATAACAAAAAGGAATGCCGAGGTACATACTTGAAAAACAATACCCAATCACCTAAGACATTATAATTAATTTTGTAGTAATCGAGTTCTTACATTTTCGCGAATGCAATACATTGGAAACTATGTTTATATGATGTTTATATGATCACGGTTGACATGGGAACTGTAAATAGGCTGAAACGCGATATAGATCCGAAAAAATAGTTTCAATTTCAATTTTATGGTAAGTTACGAAATATCTACACAAAAGTGCTAGGGATCAAAATATTTTGTTTTAATATTTGATCACATATTAAAATTAAATAAAAATATGTATATAAACATATTAAATTACTTATTTATTTTTAGTTACGAAATTGACCAAGAAAAACCATTGGTGCTAAAAAAAATAATTAAAAAAATCGGATTTTCAGTAATAGGCAAAAACGTGCTAGATCCCTAGACCTTTTTGATGATATAACGAGTAAGGATCGTGAAACAGCGTCCAAATATTTGGAGTACAATAAAAGTCTCAAAAAAGCCGTAAACAATGATTAATAATGTTTTTTTTGTACGTTTTAGGAAAATTCAACAACCAATTGCAATTAAAGTTTATAGGATGAATATGCAAATACTGTCAACTAATTTCAATATTTAAAATTATGAAGCATTTAACAAACGCAAGGAGAGATTTGTAAAATCATATTAATGCCAAAACATCAATAAAACAAGAAATAGAAAACAAATAAAAACCATAAATATACAAAACCGGGTATAAGCAAATAGTTCTCGCCTAAACGTGTCTATGTTTGAACAGTCCCATATCTTTCTACATAAGTTTTGTTTATAGTGCCTCTCCCTATCAACCTCTTGGTTATGCGGGAAGGGCACTGTGACCTGTGCAAGCGAACTGGCACAGGGACCATCTAAGTCAGGTCCTAACCCTGGAGCAGCACGTTTGCACGCACTTCATCCGGTTCTTTGTACGACTAGTCTTGCCGTCGAGCCCATAGTCTCTCCGGAAAACCCTATCTCTCGAGTCGGTAGATAGGGACAGTGTTTTTCTATGTTTGAACAGATAAAAGTGGAATTTAGAGTGATTTAATAATGAATTTTATTAGACTCAACGGTTTATATAGTGACGTTGAAAGAAGTTGGTGGCGCCAAAGGTGCAGCTCCACCAAACGCCTCTACACAGCTATAGTGTTCGAATGCAAAGATGTAGTCGTTCAGGTTTATAGTAAATACTTCTCTAACCTAATCAGACCATTACTTATGTTGAAGAGTGTTTTAATTATTAATACAAAGATCGAACACTCAGAAAAAATTCCTTCGATTCGGCCGGATTCGAACTATAAGAAACAAGTGGAGTAATTTCACAAAAAATAATTGAGTATTAATTCAATAAAAATTTAAAATACAGCGAATAGCGACATCTCTCGCAAGGACTGATAGCTGTAAAGGTACTAACTGGGTGACAAATCTTTCATAGATTTCTCATAGATGGCGCTACGACTAAAAGTCGTTGAAAAACCAAATACAAAGACACGACACAAGCACATAGGAAAATTCGTGAGATCCGCTGGTTCGTTCCGTTGCTTAGTTGGTATAGCGTCTGGCACGGTAAGCTAGAAGACGTCGGTTCGAATCCGGCCGGATTGAAGGAATTTTTTCTGAGTGTTCGATCTTTGTATTAATAATTATAACAAACTAGTAGAGTAATTTCACAAAAAATAATTGAGTATCAATTCAATAAAAATTTAAAATACAGCGAATAGCGATATCTCTCGCCACGACTGGTAGCTGTAAAGGTACTAACTGGGTGATAAATTTTCCATAGATTTCTCATAGATGGCGCTACACTAAAAAGTCGTTGAAAAACCAAATACAAAGACACGACACAAGCATATAGAAAAATTCGTGAGGTCCGCTGGTTCGTTCCGTTGCTTAGTTGGTATAGCGTCTGGCACGGTAAGCTAGAAGACGTCGGTTCGAATCCGGGCGGATCGAAGGAGTTTTTTCTGAGTGTTCGATCTTTGTATTAATAATTATAACAAACTAGTGGAGTAATTTCACAAAAAATAATTGAGTATAAATTCAATAAAATTTAAGAGTGTTTTGTCAAGTACTGTGCTTCAATTGTAGCGTTGTGTGAGACTGGTGGCGCCAAAAACGTAGCTTCACCAAACACCATTGCTATTTGGTCACTCGGCATTATACTGTATATTAACTTATATTTTTATAATATTTTTGTAATTATAGTGTCTAATTAGATCATTATTTATATTGAATAGAATTTGGTTGTAAGGGTTGTGTTTCTAATGAAACGTGGTACAAGGTTGGTGGCGCCAAAGATGCAGAATTTACCTCAACAAGTCAAATCCACAAACGGTTTGCTTGAATGCCAAACAGACCTTCCTTGATATAAGCTTCTCTTGATTGGACAATATGACAGGGTATCGTATCTCTTTTCCCTCGGAGTCTCGTTCGACTTTCCCGTCGAGGGCGGGGCTTTTGCGCGCTTCGGCGTGCGCGTAGTCCGGACCTACTGTATAAACTTTTACGTCAGTACCTGAAAATAAACCATATTTGCATTAGTAATTCGAGTCTATTTTACATTTAAAAACATCTTTCGTTTAAACAGTGATGTTTGAAGATGTGTCCAGCAAGTTTAGTCCGAAATAGACAAAACTCGCGAGGGTGCAGAAACTTTGTCTAATGATTGTGGCGTATAACTTTGGTTGGCGCGAAAATACAGTATTGAACGAAACGAACTTAAAACAAACTTTGAAGCGATGATGTATTGCAGCTGTAGTGTTAAATGCTGTGACAAATTTTTGGCAACTTACCATCGGTGGGCATAAAATCTTCGTAAATAAACGATCCAGTCTTCCTCACCCTTGACTCGGGCGAATAAATACTGCTACGGCTTCCTATCTGTGAAATAAAACATTGGTTTGTTATGTCATATACGAGGGGAACTTTGTACAGTCAACAGTACACTTTTGTTCGAATACCGCCTTCAGTGCAACTGAACATGATCCGTCAATGTGTAGCTTGATGTTGAATGAGAGTTTAGGTCATAGTTTACTACTTTCCTGGCTTAATCTGGGTTGAGCGTACAACGCTGTATAACCGGTGCTTTTCAAGTTCCTGTCTTCAAAATAATATCCACAAATACCTAAAACTTTATTTATAGAATTTAATTGTAAGCTATATACCCTCCCATATAACTAAGCTGTAAGTTTCACAAAGAAAATAATGAATAAAATAAATAAAAAGGATTGATACGTAAGCAGGTACATGTTACTTAGTGGCTCTGGTATGTTTTTTTATAACACAGAGTTGTGTCAATATAATATATATTTTACATTATTTTGATTTACATTAAGTGTAACTGCCTCTGTGGCCAAAAGGTTACCATGCCGAACTGCCACGCAAAGGTTCCAGGTTCGATTCCCGGCCCAGGAGAAATATTTATCGGCCTACATTTATTTCGCTCGTGAGTTTAGGTGTCATTTGTAGTTGTTTATATTGTCCATGGCACCCGCAACACAGGGTTTCCCTAGTGCGAGGCTATGTTGAGTGTGTACGTGTTTCAAAAAAAATCTCTGCAGAGATTGGCGTTTTAACTAGGTTCACCCGTATTATTTTGTCGCTCTATCTCCGTAAGAAGTAGGCAAACAAGACAATACTATGGATCTTGTTCAGACAAACTTCAAAATAAAGAAAAAAGTTGATTACGTAAATCATGTAATAAGAAAAAAAATCTAGTGTATATGTTTTATCAGTACAAAAATATTTTTCAAAATCAAAGAAGATGAATTTTTTATTTCAGACCATGTCCATTAGATGCTACTTAAAAAAAAAACTTTTTTCACTACTACAATATTACCACATCGATCTTGTGCGGCAAAAACAAAAGAATTTCCACAACTTACGTGACAAAAGCTGTTCGTTTTAATAATAAGAATGCCGTATTGTAAGAGATTATGTTATATTGGCTAGACTTACCTTTCTAAACAATCTCTGGCTGCCTCCGCCCGCGGAGGTGGGATAATAAATGTAAATGTTATGGTCTTCAGCCGATACTGGCTTTTCTACAAATGGTTTATTAAACACTACACCGTTTACTTCCACGTGGTCCTCGGATTCTACTAATTCGTGATCTGGAATAAGAAATAAATAATGATACATTTTTTAAAAATTCATTTATTCAAAATACACGGAACACTCAATCTATACTTATCAATAAGACTCCTTTAGAAACCCTTTAAAGGGTTTATGTATCGCTTGTTACAATTTTACATACCCAAGTAATACTTTTTAAATACTTGTTTGTATTTCTTAACATTCATTAACATATCTACACGGAGCTGCACAGGTACCTTATTTAGAATGTCAGGCAATATGTACTCCGCGGTCTTCATACCGTATGCGTTAGAGCAATGTAACTAAATAAACAAATTAAATTGTCCCATGATTTTTCCTTACTGATTCTAGTGAGATCGCTAACGTTACCGCTGCGTATTATTGTACAAAACGCGGCGCATACGGTGCTTAAGGCGGTGTAAACAAGTCTGTGTCTACCTTAACAGGAAGTTTATACAGGAATAGGTAAACAAATAACTTACGTTTGGGGTCGGGTGAATCTCTGTCTAGAACAGCATATCTTGGTATCTCTATGCCTTCACCTTCTAGTATTGCGTATACTTTTCTACGATCCTGTAAATACCAGTGAAAATAAATGCGTGTGCAAAAATTAATCATTATTGTAGTAAAAGAGCAAATAGTAATATATAAAATAGTAATACACTTTATATTAAAATTTATACGTAATAATATGTAAATTTTAATATAATAATAAATTCCAATATTAACTAAAAAAGAAAATAATATTAACCCATTTAAAAATAAACTAAAACAATTTCTCATAGAAAAGGAGTAAAATGGTTGGATATATTTAATAATAAATAAAAAGGACAATAATAAATTCACTAAAAATATGAATACATAAAATGTAATTAATAATCAATATGATAATGTAAAGTGAATTAATTGCAATTTCATTGGAATGTTTAATTTTAGTTTGATTTTGTTTATTGAATTTTATATTAGATTTTTTGTTTAGAATAATTGAATAAATTTGAATGTTTATTATATTGCGGTACCTTACCAGGGTTCGCGTCTAAATACTGAATTTTTTTAAATGTACGCCATTTCAACCATATGATTGCAATAAATAAATGAATTATAATTCTATTCTATAAATGAATTTTTAACTGAAAATCTCAGAATCGTGGAATTATATCTATTTGCCAAGTTTCATTTAAATCGGTTACCGGAAAGTGCGCGAAACCGGATTCATCCCCTAGTTTGCCACCCTTAGAGGTAGAATATTGTCTTCAAATTTAAATGGGACCACTACTAAGATACTCCCTTTCCAACAAAAAAAAGAATCATCAAAATCGGTTCACAAATTTCGAGTATTCGCGTAACACATAAAAAAAATATAGACGAATTGAGAACCTCGTCCTTTTTTTGAAGCCGGTTAAAATAAGTCACAACTCACGGAAAGCTTCACGTCCATCCCTTTTATTAATTAAGTATGAAGTGTAACAATTTAATAATTCGTTTTTAAGTCTCTTTGCTACGCTCTAACTGGGTCATGTACCTACCATATAAAATTTTATTATAAGACCTTCTTAATGTACATGTGCAATTTGGAAGTAATTAAATAAATAAACATACATTTAAGAAGGCTCTTTACACGTCTCATGCTGATGGGTGACTCAATAAATAAAATGACAAAAAAGAATCTTAATATATTATACAGGTTGTCTATAAGATTGGCACAAAATCTCAAAAAGCTTATTGTGTACTTCAAAAAGTTTTTTCTTCATATACAAAATTTAAGTTCGTTGTGCATTCAAACATGTAGAAAGACGAAACTTTTGCATACGTATTTAGAAACTTCTCAAAATAGACATTATTGGCTTCGAAGTCCAGAATTAGCACAAAATTATTATTAATTGGCGTTAAATTTTTAATGGCACGTATACTTCTATCATAGTTATACGTCCCACCGTATAAATGATTATAATGATGACTTCAAATGCCTTTGGTTGATTCCGCATAACACTGAAAGCGTCGAATCAATCAATTTGGAAAAAAAACATAGTCAAATTAAGAATATATATTGGTTACTGTAAAATAATCACACCGTATGGTGTGAAAACACGATTGCTGAAAATTTTCACGATAGGAAAAAAAAAAACTTATCACGAAATTTTACAAGAAAACCAATATGAATATTTTTTCTTATATCAGCTGAACTAAATAGAACACGTATAGTATAAGATATTACATTTTTCAAATGGCATTAATTTCGTTTGGAAAAAAAATAAACGCTGAAATAAAGCCATTGTCCTTGCCGCTAGATTCGCGCAAGAGAACCGATTCTGTACGGGAAAAATTAGAATTCGAGCTGAGGTAGTACCGACTTTTAAACAGTAACGAACCTATAGATAAAATTTCGACTTACCTGTATATCATATTGCATGTGCAGATTGTTTATCACGTAAGGTTTCCTCAATTTCTCGTACTGGATGGCTTTATCCAAAGGGAAGCCCTTCGAGTGAAAAGAGATGAGGCAGTCGCAGATGGGCCACTCTTCCACTGGTTGCTATAGAATTACATTAATTTCAACATTTATGCGCGATTGTCCTCAAAAATGACTTTATGGTGACCAATGTTACTGAATTTAAAAATTTTGAAAAGACTATTCGGATTATGTTAAATTTAAAATCATCTTAACTGATCCGTCACCGAGAAGCCGATTTAACTTTGTGTTAGTGTCATGGCCTCTGTCAAGTTCTTTATGTGTGGTTATCTACATATTAAAAATAAAAAATAAAGTAACACAAAATAATACATCTATGGTATATACAAGCAATTCTATAAACAATTCAAACTGACCAATAAATCTTATAATATTCTAAAGTACAAAGGGTAAAATCATAGACTGTAGAATCACACTAGATTAGAAGAAACATAATACAATTAAATTAACGAAACGAAAATAGCAAAACGAAATAATGGTATGTACGGGACAAGAATAATTGGCAAACAGATTAATGATTGGACAGCCTGAGTTTCCTATCTCTTAAGACTAAAGAACTAGTTCTAGTTCTTTAGTCTTTTGTTCAAAAAGTAGGTATTATTTTCAAATTGTTAATTAAGACTTGAGAATAACGATAATCACCGAGTCAAGGGATTGGCCTCAACACTAGCGCAGAGTTACTACTCGTATTAAGTAGCTAACACAACTGCCAAGCACTACAAGCAATCGATTACTGCCGGTGGAGCATTCACATATGACACTCTTAGGGCCTATATACACTGATCTATTCATATTTTCGTTATTCTTTCAATGCGAATGCAAACATTCGAACTCAAATTATTTATTCAAGATTCACAAACAATTTGATGTGTTTGCATACAAAACTATACACACATTGGGTCACTCACTGTCAGGGGTTCTACTCTCGGTTCCAAGCACGAAATCCGTTGTTATGGCTGTTTTCCCAGCATGGATGACCTGCAGACTTGAGTTTTGATCGGGGCTAGAACTAGGAATCTTTAGACAATGCGATTTGACATTTTCGAACCCGTGTTTTTGTTGACTGACTCCGAAAGTAGTTCCGTAAGTCATCCATAGTGGGAAAACGACTGTCACTACGGTTTATGTGCTTCGAGAATAGAGCCCGAATAGTGTTCTCTACCTAATTTCGGTGACAATTTTTATTATATATGTATTATATAATATTATCTATCATGAAGAATTATTTAATTTTCGAGTGCAGTATTCTGAAATACTGTGTAATATTTCACGATAACATACTAGGTTAGTTAAATAATAAAAATTGCCACCTATATTAGACAAAACTAACCTGAAAATGATGATTCACTCAAGCAAAAACGAGCAATTTGAGTTTATAATTAAATTTAAATTATTTGCTTCCTGTTTATGCCAGATACACAGTAAGAGTTTTTATTCTATTTCATTTTGTATTAAATAATTGTATTATTGTTTATTGTCCGTACTATTACCGAAACCGGGAGCCAGGATCACCATATCACGGGATTTACTTAGTTTGGGTTCTTGTTTCCAATACCTGAGATCCATAATATTTCGTACATTTTTTATATTTTTTATTATTACTGTGCAAAAGACTTAGAGCGCCTTCAAATTAGTCGCTTGTAGAAGCGCTACAGTGGCGCGGTAGTCGCGCGTCTGTAACCGTTTCAGCGCGTGTCAGGACAGTAGCGCTGCAATTTGGCAAGTATGGTATAGTGGGACGGGGTGGTGTCCGTAACTGGACGTCCAGGCGCCTACTGGCAAGCAATTACAATAACAGATTGTTCAAATAAAATATGTTTAAAATATCTAGGTAGTGAACCCACATCCAATGTGCAAAAAAAAATATCACTCTACTTTGCCTTCAGATTGTGCGATTATTGTGCATTGTACGGAAAGAAAAATAATTGCACATTTCTCAGTTCATTAGTATACCTAATGATGAAAATTAAGGTGAACACGTTATATTTTCTTTTAAATCACCCTATACGAATTTCCATACAACAACTAGGTTATTACTGATTGACGATTTATACATGCATATGAAACTAAATTAAACAGAAATTTATCGTCATATTGAATTTTGAATCAGTACATGACCGTTACACGTACTCATCAAAGATCAACCCTAAGTGCGCAGTATGAATGCCCCATTACCGGCAAATTGTTAACCCGAGACACTAACGACGCTTTTAGAATTACTGAAGCCTTTCAATGGAAATACTAATACATGTGACTTGAGAAGATATGCGTCCATGAACATAATATACTACATCTACAAAAGCACTTCAAATTATTCCTCATTGGAACCCAGGGATGAATATAAATTTGTTATGTGAATATTATACAGAAATGGTTGAAAGATACACTTTTCCAAATAATTACTTGTACATATTTAACTACGTAATATTAACTATAGTCGGATTGTTAATTATAGATAACAAACTGGTAACTACTAATGTCACTTTTGTTCGAACATCGTCTCCTGTGTGCAATGGAACAATCCATCAATGTGTAGCGTGATTTGCTTCCGTCTGTAGGTACAGTCAAGAGCACGTCAAGTTTGATACTTTGTGCCTTGGACCGTTCTTATCGGAAGCGGCATAGAGTTGGATTTAAGTGTCAAGTCTTAAGTGTCAAGCTTGACGTGCTCTTGACCCTGTACATAGTGTAGGGGGCTAATTTTCAGGTTAGTTTTCTCTACCTAATTTCGGTGGCCATTTTTAATTATTTAAGTATTCGATATTTCCCTGGCTCAGCGACCCGAAGTGGATCTTGGCCTCCGACACTAAGAATATTTAAATAATAAAAATTGCTACCGAAATTAGGTAGAGTAAATTAACCTGAAAATTACCCAATATTATGTTTGGTTCAGTTTTTAATGAAATTACTGAAACAAATTCAGTGTAAAAGGAATGTTTAACATATTTTTCTGCTAATCTTTCACTATTAAACTGCCTCTGTGGCCGAACGGTTACCATGCCGGACTGCCACGCAGAGGTCCCAGGTTCGATTCCCGGGCCGGGAGAAATATTTGTATGGCCTACATTTACATTTATTTACTTTCTCTCGTGAGTTTGGGTGTAATTTGTGGTTGTCTATGTGTGTCCATGGCGCCCGCGACACAGGGTTTCCCTAGTGCGGGGCTATGTTGAGTGTGTGCGTTATTATTATTATTATAAATCTGCTAATTAATTTACATTGAGTAATTTTATTAGCGATGTGCGCTGATTGCAAAATGGTAGGCGGCGAATTTGGCTGGCAGCGGTATGACAGGAGTGAAATCGGCATGGCATGAAATGGCCTATATATTTCAGTTGTTTAAAAAACACTAAAACATCGAGTTCTTAGGTTTTCGCGATTATTACACATAGGAAATGAAACTATTTTTCCGGATTTAAATCGCGTATATTTGTTTTTTTCAAACAAACCGACGTTTCGGGCTCTTTACAGGTCCCATGGTCACGGTTGACTGAGGTGGTACAGTCTTCAACCAGTTATGTCTAATATTGATGCAAACCACCCTATTTTTTCACTATAGTTACAATAATTATTAATTAAATACCTTATTTTTAATTTTACAAAGAAAACATTCCAATTTACGCTATATTAAGTTTTACAAATTATTTTATCGAATGAATTTTTATTAAGTTCAATTTATTATTAATTATTAATATAAATTAGAATAAACTAAAACATATTAATTAGTACTGCAGTCTTATGACTGTTTGGGATTTTTCATTAGAGGAAATACTGGATCCCAAACTGGTGGTACGGAGAAACCATCTTCCCTGTTGAAATTAGGATGTTTTTTAATTTCAATGGCCTCTCGCAACATCCTGGGCAGATAACCTTTGCATTTATTTTCAATGTTTTTACTCTTTAACTTGTTCTTTAGCGGGTTAGCGGTGGCAACCGTTAGTTATGCAGAGGGCAACGAGAAATGAGCGTGCCTACCTATCTAGAAAATAGGGAGGGTGCTGTACGTGCTCCCGGGCAGCTCATCCAAAGCACTAGCCTTTTGAGAACCGGATGAAGTCTGTGCAAACGGGCTGATCTGGGGTGAGGACCTAACTGGGAAGGTCCTTGCGCTGGCTTGCTCGCACAGGTTATATTGCCCTTACCGCATAAGCAAGCAGTAGATAGGGAGGGGCACTATAAACAAAACTTATGTAGAAAGATACGGGACTGTTTTTTAGCAGGTTAGCGGTGGCAACCGTTAGCGCAACGGGAAGTGATGGTGCCTACAGCTCCGGTACCCAACTGGAAAATAGGGAGGGTGCTGTACGTGCACCCGGGGCAGCTTATCTAAGGCACTAGCCTTTTGAAAACCGGATGAAGACGTGGAAACGGAGTGACCTGAGATTCGGACCTGACTGCGAAGGTCCCTGTACGGGCTTGCTCGTACAGGTTATAGTGCCCTTTCAGCATAACCAAGAGGTTGATAGGAAGGGTCACTATAAATAAAACTAATATATACGTGTAGAAGTACGTAAATGTTCCATTATTAATTTTAATTGTACGGAAATATTGCAATGAAAACTATAGTAAATAATTAACAAAAACCTAATACATCAATAGATTAAAAGAAATTTTTATTTTCAGAAGTTCATTTACCTTGATAATCTACTGAGCGGTCAGTCGATCTTTTGAGAGAACACTATTTTTATTTTTAAAAACTAACAACCCACAAAACGTCAGTTTATTAAGCCTAGTTAAAAATCCGACTTTAGTTAATATGTACAAGTAAAATTTTGGGAAATGATTCCAATGTCGATTAGAGTTTTTATAAAATCGCGCGGTGTCTCAGTTAAGAATCTTAATTCTTTACGAAGTCAAGACTTGTCTTAACGTAAGTATTGTTGTTGTTCAGCGGTGTTGTCACTGTGCGTGGTCATAAAAACAGTCATAATTAATAGATTTCCAATTAAATATGCCTTATATCATATTAATAAAAAAATTAGACTACAACCATTAAAATTATAAGTTATGGGCCCAATGGCAATTAGACAATCAATTCAATGTGCGTTGACAGATTTGGTGCC